AAATGGTTTCCCTCTGGTTTTTGAGCTCCCTTTAACTACTGGAAGGCCACAATGAGATTGCCCCAAAGCTTTCTCTTCTCCAGGCTGAACAAGTTCAGCTCCCTATGCCTTTCTTCACGGGGAGGAGCTCCAGCCCTCTGATATCCTTGTGGTCCTCCTCTGGACTTCCTCTAACAGCTCCGTGACTTTCTTATCCTTGGGTCTGTAGCAGCGGCCTCATGAAGATTTTGGCTTAGCGCCTATATGAACCAGGCTGCTCGTGAAGTACTGTGTCCTGTTCTGGCTGCCACAATTCAATTCAAGATGTGGATAGATTGGACAAGGTCCAAAGGCAAGCCACAAAGATGATCTCAAAGGGGGCTGGAGAAACTACCTTACAAGGAAAAAATGGGAGGGGTTGGATCTTTCTGCCATGGAAAAGAGAAGGCTTGGAGAGATCTCATCCAGCATCTAAAGGGCAACTACAAAGATGTCAGAGGCTTACTTCTCCAGTAGTGACATGGAGAAAACAATGGGTACAAAGTTACACTGGGAGAGGTTTTTGTCTAATTTGATGATCCTTTGAGGTATCTTTCAGTGTGAAAGTTGTATGAAATAATGGAGGAAAGGAATAGGAGACTGAGTCAAGGAAAATGGTGTCTTGTGTAGGAACTGGCTTAATGCATTTATTCATTTTTTCCATGTTGAGGATGATCCATCTGATTTCTGCAGTCCTTTGACTAGATCATTATGAGTTGCTTGCATTTCTCAATTTAAGATTCTTATTTTCAATATGCATTGCAAATAGGAAATATCAGGAGTTGTCTAGGAGGAATATCTTGCAATCAGTGGATAATCTGGACTATTAATCTCTTAATCACTTTGTGATGATTAAATTGTGCAGTTGGTCATCTAAACTTCTTGTATCTTGACAACTGTTATCTTTGTAGTGCAGTGTTTATATTCATTCCCATTTATATACCTGGAATTTTATGTAACAATAGCATGTATAGACTATTTGCTTTAATAAAGTGAAACAACTTTTCAAGTAACGTCACCTTCTTAAGGATATGGAAAAATGAAAACAAAGCACTCTTGATTAAAACCTTTATTTTTTTCCCCTTGAACCTGGATTCTTTCAGTAAGACCAGCAGAAGCAGTTCAACAGTCTCAAGTATTTCACACCCATAGGTAGTCCATCGTTCTTCCTCACTCTCCCTTCGAAACAGAAGACAGAGTAAATGCAGAGAAAACAACTCCTGAGTTAAGGACACGGTGCTCATTTGCCAATTACCGTGACAAGCAAAACACTCAGCATAAGAGATTAATTTATCGCCTGCTGATAACAGACTAGAGCTGTGAGAATGAAAAGCAGAGTGAAAACACCTTCCCTTGTCCATCCTTTTCTATCTCCTCCTGAATAGTACAGACAAATGAGGAATGGAGCTTGCTGTCAATCCATGATTTGTCTCCACCGCTCCTTTGTGGTCACTCTGCACCTGCTGTACCCTGGACTTCTCCAGAAGCTGCGCATGGACAAATGTTCTGTGTAGACCTGCTCAAGCTGCTGCCATGGGCAGCAAGGAGACAGCCTGCTCCACCGTGGTCCTCTCCTGGTCTGCAGAGAACTTCTGCTCTGGCCTGAAGCACCTCCTGCCCTCCTTCTGTGCTGACTTTGCTGGCTGCAGGGCTGTTTCTCTCTTGTTTTTTCACTCCTTTCCCTGAGCTGTGGTTTGCAGCTATTTTGCCTTTCCTTCAGTCTGCTCTCCTAGAGTTGCACCCAGTGTGTCTCCATGGCTCAGCTCTCCACAGTGGGTGCCTTTTGGAGCAGCTGGAGTTGACTCTGATCTAATGTGGGGCAGCTGCTACGCTCTGCTCATGGAGGCTTCCCCTGCAGCCCACTGCTACCAAAACTTTGCTTCATGAACTCAATATATAAGATTTTGGACTTCTGGATTGCACAAAACATTGTCTAAATTTGAAGTTATTTAATTAACATACTGAAATTATCCGTACTATCTTTATTTAACAACGTCTAAATTTATAGCATTGCTGCAGTAGAGAACAGCCTTTGTAAGGGCTTTGGTTTTTTTGTGTGTGGTTGTTTTTTGTTTTTTGTTTGTCTTGTTTTGTTTCCTGTGCAAGAAGGCTTCTTTTTCCTTCAGGTAAAAGCTGGGATGTGTCAGTATCTATCACATATATTAAGTAATACTCTTCTGGTTGTTTTACATGCCCACCTTTTGCATGGCTAGAATTTTAAGAATCAGATGGAAACTTCAGACTAAAGCAAAGCCATTCATTCTCTCCTGAGACTGTAATCTGTTTTTTTGAACTTTGAGTAGCAAAGGATTTCTTTACTTGCCAGGAATGGGCATGTTGTTGTGTGTGAAAAAACATAGCACGTCCCAAATTCTTCTCCTGCCTCTTGCTGACCTTGCTTTCATACTACAGGATTAGTCTGCAGCTTCCCTGCAGGAGATGAGCAATTCAGAAATGAGGTAATGTGTACTGCAGACGTTTCAGCCCAAATGGGTGGAGAGGTGAAGGATAATAATGATATTTCATTCAGGAAAACAACCGGTGTTTTGGGAGCATTGCTGTGTTTGAGTATGTTAATGCTTTCCAGGCTCTCTACTATCTCCTAGTGACCTTGCTTTGATGCAGGAGGACCAACGTTGTACTTATCACAGTAATTGATTGTTCGCTTGTAGCTGGAATGATTTATGTCACATTTGTCTCTGTATGTTGTAGAAAGAGACTCAGGAAAGTGACTGGTAGTGGTGCTGTGTGTGATTGATAGACTCTATGGCTTCCTTTTGTCAGTGTTTGTTCTTGCAGGTGCTGGAACCTCATGTGCCCTTTGCATCAGTTAGGCATCTGCTGGTATTTCCCCTTCTCATGTCTCCCAGTTAGTGTTTTGCTTTTCTGGTTCCAAGCTTGGAGCAGAAATTGTAGATTGAAAACGTTTGCTTTCTTTATAGAGCGGTTACCAACTACTGAATTCCATTCCAGTCTCACCCATCTCCATATATGCAAAGCCTGTGGTGCCTTCGTAAAAGGCTACGGAGTTAAGCAAGCCGGAGAATGTGTACAGTAGTTAAAAGATTTTCTGCTTTTATTTTCAGGTTATCTGCAATGTTTTACAAGAGAATAAAATTATTGATCGTATGCAGAATATGACAAACAGTTGTCAGAGCTCGAAGGAGCTGTTGCTGAGCTTTTCAGTGTTCTTGCCATTAGCCAGTTAATCTGGCTGAGATGACAGACAGATTAGATAGATACCAAGATAGGAATAAAGGCAGTAAATGAAAGCTTTGCATGGAACACTGTGTCCTATTGAACATTGTGCAAACTTGAGCAAGATACAGTCCAATGTGAATACTTACAGCTGTTCAAAAATCAGAAATTTAGCTAAAATATGGGGTTTCTCTGATATGTCTATAAACCAGACTTCTGATTTGGGACTTTCAGAGTGTATCTTTAAAACAGTTTTCTTACAAAATTAGGATTGAGATAGTGATCTCTCAAAGGAGAATAGAGTATATAGGCAGAAAAAGATGGGATATGCATTTTTAAAGAGCGCTTTTGCCTTTGTTTCTGTTTATACGTCAGCTGAATTGTCATGCAGTAACAATTTCTGTAGTTGTGGTCTTAAAAAGAGAAATGAAATATTGCAAGAATTATAATGAAACTTATTTGTCAGCTGAGTTTTATACTTAGATTTTAGAACAACGTATGTATGAAAAGCTATATAACTTAATTTACGTGTGGCGTTTTGTGACTGGAGAAGTGGAGGAAATAGCTGAAGCTGATGATAGAGAATTCAGAGTGACGTACTTCTCTTTGAGAGGTACTTCTCAGATTTGACTGGCTCATTGGTACCCTTTGAATGCTTGACTTGTATGTTGTGGTAGTACTGTCTACTGGCGTTTATTGCATCTGTCAGCAGTTTTGGCACTGTGCAGCTAGAAAAGATTACTTGGAGATGGATTGTTTCAGAGCTTCAGTATTTTGGCTGTCATTACACTTTTGATATGAAGTGGCTACCTGAATGTAGCAATGTTCAAGTTCTCACGTTCCTTGAATACATTAAATAGAAATATGTAAACATGGTGTAAATATTCAACGTTGTAGTCTTGTTTCTCTATTATAAAGTCAGCAATTTTCTAAGCTTCAATTAACTTTTTAGAGAAAGAACTCCGTCAGGATTCAGATTCTACGAGTAAGTAGGGATTTTTTTTCTTGAGAGCTCTCTGCAAGAGCCTGGCTTCTCCAGTTAATCTCTAGCATTTCATCTTCCAAAAGATTGTCTCTCTTCTGGCTTTAAAAGTAGTGTTGTTCAGATAGTAGTTTAGAAGTTTTAATGTGACTACTAGGAATGTCTTCAATCCTTCTTTGACTGTTTAAACAGGCAAAAATTTCACCAGGAAAATACTACTACAAATGGTATTTCTAAAATTACAAAACTGTTGCTACTGTATGATTTGTGTGATCACTTGTATAAGTTTCTTACCCAGTACTGGTAGGGTAAAAATTTCAGGTAGCATACTGAAGTGTTATTTGCTGTCTTGGAGGTAGGAGTCGGTACTTTTTGTAGAAAAAAAAAAAGAAAAGAAAAATAGGAAAAAACCCTCATGATATCTTCTACAAATTGACTGCATGTAGGCTTCATGTTTTTATGAAGAGAGAATTGATTGAGTGATTCTGTGGACACTCTGCTGTAATCAGGATCAAAGACTTTTGTGGGAGCAGAGGGTATTGATATATCTTGTGGACTCATTTTTAAAGTAGCTTAATTCCTGTTTCCTTTCTGTTATTTTAAATGGCATTCTCTTTTCAGCAATGAACAAATTATTACTCAAAATTTATGTGGCAACCCAGTAGTTGAGATAGTTTGGTAGCTCATTATGAATTTGTAAACTAAGCATGTTCTGGTAAAGACTTGAGATGTAATTATTTTTTAGCCTGAAAAAAGAAGTCTTGTATGTATTCTCATTAACATTTAAAAAATGTCGTTGCAGCTGTGTTGGGGTAGAGGAGCATCATGCTGTTGACATTGATCTGTACCATTGTCCCAACTGCGCAGTTCTTCATGGACCTTCTCTGAGTGAGTATGCATTATTCAGATTTTATTTTACAGTTTTAATGTTTTTGCTCCAAGTACAGTTGAAAAAAAGTCCGTTCAGAGGAACATTCAAGATGAGTCTGATTATTTAGGAGCTACTGGTTCTGTGACTAACTTTGAACTGATAAAAAGCAACGATGATAAACAACAACAAAACCTACAAGGTGTCTTTTCTTGAGAGATTCTCCTTGATGTGAAGATGCAGATAGAATAAAATATAAGCCACAGCTATAGATTAGAGAAATCAAAGGGTACAGAGCTACGAGAAAGCAATCTGTACTTGGCTGAGAGAGAGAGACAAAAATTAGGAATTCATCATCAAAAGAAAAAAAGAAAAATCAATTGCAGGTAGTGATGCTTTCTCCTGCTGCATGTATGATATGCTATTAAAAAAAAAAAAGTTCCAAAAGACTGCTTAAGATTTCTGTATTTTAATCATCAAAATTCTAATACCCAGGAAGGCAACCTTGAGAAAATGTTCAAGCTAGCTTTCTTTGCTTTCTTGATGTTTAAGGCAGTATTCCATAACAGTCCAGAGTAGTTTGAGAATTGGAGCTGAAATTGATGTCTGCTTTTCCTTTATGTCTTTGAGAATTACACAGCCATGTATTCCAGGTGTCTGGTTTGTGAATATGATTCCCCCAAATTCCTCGTGGAATTTTATGAGTTGCCAGAAGTGAATGTGGAGTCAGGAGGGACCTCTCTGGTTCTCCTTTCAGTAGGTGCCTTTGCTGAAGAGATCTGAAGTAGAAAGATTGTAAGACTGGACTTAGGAAGAAAATATTTTTGTCTTTTGTAACTACTGCAGGGATGCTTTTTTTTCTGACTCCTTGGGTTTCCCCCACAACTTCAGTTCTCAAATGAAGTAACGTGATAGTGAGTTTCACCTCTCCAGTTTCTATGTTCAAACCTGAAAAATATCTATGTATGATTAGTGTGCCCACACACACTGTGGGCATTTGTGTTTCTTTAATACATGTTCTTTCTTTGCTTGAAGACCTTGTAACAATTTATGCAATTTATCTTTTGCATCTAGCAAAAGATCTAGAATCTCTACAAAGCTGAATTTAGCATTTAGAAATGATCATTTTAAATCACTGCACTGTCACTGGTAGTCATGTGGAGTATGAGCAAAGTGATTTATTTCAATTACTGACTTAATTAAAATATGTTAAATATCTTGTACGTGGGTTATATTCAATGCCTTCAGTATTAGCTACCTTCATGTTAGGGGCTAAAAGGTAAGTTGAATGCTCTTTTACATGCTTGAAGTTTTATTATTACAATTGTCTTTTTCAGTTTCAAATCCTTATGTGTATTCTGTACATAATACAAATACGAGCCATTTTTCTACCTTTCTGCCTGTTTTTTTTTTGGGGGGGGGGGGTTGGAGAGGTGTGTGTGTATGCATATGGAATACTGGGGCTGGAACAATAAAAGGTGGGGTTCATATCAGACTTTAAAAATACTAAAAAAACATGGAAGTTTGGAACTTTATCCTTCTGGTTTGACAGAACTGGTATAGTTCATCATCCTCTTGATGCCTGTGAATAGCCTGTCTTGTAATGCAGAGACTTCCAGCTCTCACGCTAGCTCTGTTTCACCTGCTGCAATCTGACAGTGAAATACTGTGTTGGATAGCTTTTTCAAAAGATAAGAATCTGTAGAAAAAAATTATCCTTGCTACTTCATATTGCCTCAAGTGAGTAAGTAGTCTAGATTTAGTAGAAGATTCAGGCATATCACTTATCTACCCAAGCAGAAGTGATATGTTGAAATATGTCTTCATCTGCAGTTTCATTAATTGTACTCAGCTAGTCTGTCATAATCAAATCTTTGATAGTTTGTGGTTTGGACATCGGCATGCTTTAGGGTTAGGAGAGGCTGATGTTTTATGACTTCAAATGTTGCACTGCTTGAAACATATGAAATTATGTATGTAAGTAAAAAGCACATCTTTTATTTACTGCTTCATGTTCTAGACTCCATTGGTCTAAAGAAGTTCTGAAGGAGACCATAATTCAACCGTGTTCAATTTAAGAGGACAAGTGCATCTATGATTTTGACAAGCACATGTGTATACAACCTAATATAATCAGATGGCATTGTGCAAAAAAAAAATTACTAAAAACGTATGAGAAACATACATTTTGTATTACCAAGTGGATTTTCATTCAGCATCAAACAAAATTAATTATGTTAGTTCCAGTAATGAAAGGAAAGCTACTGTGCACTCCTTTAAATTTTCCACTCTTCTCATGCTAACATTTCTCTTGCCTTTTCCATTAGTGGGCATCACATAAAGGAACTCTCACAAGACTGGGGCCTGGTTGTACAGATGTGAGTGCTTCTTGGTGGTTCCCTTTTCAAGTCCATGTAGGATGTCTGAGACAAACAGACAAGTGTAGGCAGGCAAGGAGTAGAGTTTGCCTAAGCTAGATACAGTTATAAGCCCATTGTTTTGAATGTATAAGGAACATAATTTAAAAATAAATTCCTGCTTGCTTTTCATGAAAAATTTCTCAACGCCCCTGTAACTCTGTGGTTTGTGTTTGGTGCATGTTTATAGCATTGTCTCTGCAGGTTATGCCTCATTTTTTAGGAACACCAAGGGTTAGTGCTTTCCTTCCACTAGTTTTGAGGGATTTGGAAGTGAAGGAAGGCAGTTCTTGATGTCTTTTAACATTTCTTTTTAATTTATTTTAATGTGAGCACAGGGATTCATTCAGTTAGATATTTTTTCTTGCAACTGTTATTGTAATGTCTTAAGGAATTATAAAGCTGCAACATAAGAGAAAGCCTTCATTATTGTTCTATGGTTTTTAGCATTCTCTTATTTATGGAAGCATGATATATGCTACAAGTACTAAGTAGAGGAAGTTTAATTTCTGTTTTTCAGATGTTGGAAGGTCAGACTTTAAAAAGTTATATATATATATATATTTTTTTTAATACATATATATATATATATATAATCTCTTAACCAGCTGTATCATCTTACAGGCTTAATGAGCTGTTACACAGCAGTTGTACAGAATTTCTGAGAAGCTACTCTGTTGCAAATTAACATTAGCCACTAATTTCTTGTATTATTATTTATGAATGAGAAAATGGCTTTGAAAACTTAATAAACTTGGCTTGGTTATTTATGAAGTTTCACTGTGTTTGGATAGTTGGCTCATCAGCGGTCTCTTCAGCAGTGATTGTGAGGGTAGCAAACAGCTATAAATGTCACTTCATTCTCTTAAATGTCTTCCAAGGGGTACATTTTGTCACTTTTGTGGAAAGCAGCTTATCAGTAGGAATAACTGTTTGTCATGCAGTGGCTGTAAGGTGTTAGTTATTCCTGTATAAGCAACTGATATTTCTGCAGAAGCAGCATTGAAATTTTGTGGTTTTTTCCCCCCTTTTAAAATCCTTTGCTATTTGCTATTCTTCACGCTGTTGTTAGTTGTGTTTTTGGTATGGTGCTAACTACTTGTGAGTTTGGTTTATCATGACTTCGATATGCTTAAGGATGAGCTCTTCTTTAACTAAAAGTTCAAATTTGTATTAGTGTAGTTGCTTAGCTGGGGTATGTTTGTGTTGCATGGTGGTTTGTGCATAGCCTGTAAGAGACCATTTGTGCTGGCAAATGACAATAGCTTTCTCCTCTTCTGTGTTTCTTCTGCAGATGGAAGTAAATTTCTGCACAGTATTAGTCGTTGCGTTCTAGATCTAGTCACAGTAAATATACTTGGGGTAGACTTCCAGTAGCAACCATCAGATGCTGTGGAACAGAGTTTGGCTTAATTTTGGTGGCTTATTTTGGGGAAAACTGAAACGCAACCACCTAATAATTATGTTTATTATGTTTCTTAGCATAGTAAGTGGTACACTGGTAAGTCGCTAGCAAGGTTGTGAGCTGAGGACTGTCACAGATCCCAACAGATGCCTCAGCAGAAGGGAACTTAAGAGGGCTTTTGCTGACAGATAGGTGCTATTAATGAACACTTTCTTTCAAAGTAGTGAGTTTCAGTTCTTTATAAATGAAGCTATAAAATGGGTGCTTGTTTGATTAAGACGAATTAATTGCATATTTGGAATGAAATAATTTGTTATTAAATAATGCAAATTTGAGGGCAGGTGGTAAGTTTACCAAATCATAAATCACCTTTTCCTCTGGTGCACTTAAAGCCAAAAAATGCAAATGGAGAGGCTCCGTACAGCCCTACTGTGTTTTACAAGAGCTTTTTCTTGTTCGAGTATCTGTTTGTTTTTTTTTTCAGTGGGAGTCCACCAGCACAGCTTTTTATGAAAACACTGTTATTCATTTTCACTGGCCCTGTAAATAGAAGGAGCTGTTAAAAAATGCAATTTAGTTACTTCTGGATTATCAGACTTCCAAAATTGTGATATAATATTGATTTATTATTTGTTCTTTATGAATATTTTGCCATAGTGAATAACAGCTTGCAGCAACTCAGAAGTTCATTGTTTTGGGGCATAATGCTTGCATTATATGTATTGTACTTGCAGAGTGAAGACTGTACCTGCTAGGATAGCTTATACCCAAAAGTGTTATGGAAACATAAGCAGTGGATAAAAGAAAGGTGTTTTTGTTTCAAACAGATTGCAGTGGTGAACAACAGAGTTGTCGGATCGTATGTAAATATGTTCCTCTGGTCAGATAGCACAATGAGATAAGTCATATTAATTCTATGTTAATGCATGAGAGGAAGAAGCGTAAGGATCTTGAGGAGATAAGATTCTTCTCTTTATTTAAAAAAAAAGTGAGATTTAGGAAATTGAAATCGTGGTTTCATTGACTTGAGATTGGATAAGTGTCAGGCTGTTACTGTGTGCTTTCATTGTTCTGCACTGAGTACAGAGTTTTGAATCATGGTGTATAACATGCACTGGTGTTCTCTGATGGAAGAGGCTCTAGAAGTGTAAGTGGTTACTGTCAGGTGTTCTGAAGGTTTCATTTTTGGCAGATGGATAGTTTCACCTGTATAAACAATAAAGTTTGTTAATCTTTGTGATAGGGTTGAAGCATGCCTGGTTCACTGACAGAGCGACTGTTAATCTGAACCATCTGATTTAACTAATTCAAAGTTTAATCCTTTTGAAACTTGTAGTGAAAAAGAGAAGGAACTGGCACAGACATGACTACACTGAGTTGGATGATGGCTCCAAACCGGTGCAGGCTGGAACACGGACCTTTGTTAAACAGCTGCGGGCTCGCTCTTTCCCAAGGTACAGAAGCTCACTTTAACATTTTGGTGAAAAAACAAAGACCTAAGACTTCCTCCTCCTTTAGAATTCTCCCCCTTCCACTGTTCTTATCAGTCCCTGATCCCTTTCCTCAGGGCTGCTCTCTAGCCACTTCATCTCCTAGTCTATATCTGTGCCCAGCATTACTCCATTCCAGCTGCAGCACCTGGCATTTTTCTTTGTTGAACTTCAGCTGTTGCTGGTCACCCAGTGCTCCAATCTGTCAGAGTCCCTCTGCAAGGCAGAGTGGATGTGGCAGAGTGACTGGCTTTTTTTTTTCTCTCACCTGAAATATCAGAATATTATCTATCTCTGTGGTCCAAGTAAGGAGAGAATGGGAAATTACTCCTCAGTTGTTTCATTCCAAATAATGTAGAACACTTATATGTGCTAGTAGTATACCCATTCTCTCATGCTTTATAGGAAAGTAGAGAAACTTGTTTGTAGCAGAAATCATCCCAGTTTGTTTGTGGTTGTTTTTCATGCTTATAAATATGGTAGCTTATAACTCTTGACAGAACTTTCTGTTGTTGTTATTAAAATGTATTTTAATGTTTTCTTTTTCCTCACCCTTTTAAATTACTATGTTAGATTACATAGAAATACAGTGAATTACCAGGTTATGTGTAACACTTAATATTTCATTAGGGGGTTATATTGGTTTATTTGTCTTACACTCTTAATTTGATAGAAGTACGGGGTTGTATTTTTTGGGGGGTTCAAATGCAACCATTTCAACCAGTCCTCCTTGAATTTGTGACTTTTTTTTTTTTTTCACTAGTGTTTGGAGGATGTATTTCTGCTAATATTCCATAATTTCTTGTTTGTTAGTGCTGATGAAGTCATTTTGAAAATGCATGGAAGCCAACTGACACAAAGATACTTGGAGAAACATGGGTTTGATGTACCTATTATGGTTCCTAAATTAGATGGCCTGGGGCTCAGACTTCCTCCACCAACTTTCTCTGTTTTAGATGTGGAACGCTATGTAGGTAAGGGTCACTGTGGAATAAGTGCAAATGATCCCCTCTGTAAAGTAAAACAAATATTTACATGATTCTAAGAGCTCCTGGAGTGCTAAATATGTATTATAAACTAAGCACTCCTAACCAGAACAGTACAATTAAGCTACCAATTTGAATTTTGTTTATGTGGATATCTGATGGGAGAACACCATTATTTTTCAACTTCCAAGTGTGTTGACTTGGGTGCAAGATGAATGTGGAGTGATGTTTTTGTTATGCTACAATTTTGTGAGAATTGAATGAATCACTCTGAAGATTGATAGAGATGAGTCACTGGTCAGAATATTACAAAACATGATGTTTTGAGCTCAGTGAATTGGCTTTTTCAAACTAAATAAATCTTTCTGGAGACCTTCCTACCATGGCCTCCTTTGGTGAGAGCCAGAGCTCCCGACAATTTGTTTCTTGCCTGATCTCTGGATAGTCTTTAATCATTTCATCTTCATACAAGTGTGCAGTACATAGACTGAATCATTTTGAGCATGAAGTTTGCTGTAGTAAACAGTACTGTTGAGAAGTCTGTGTGTGGGTCTTTGTTCTTGTGAGAACTTCATATAATTCTGAGTACTAAAAGTAGAACGTCTGTCTATCAGAATTTTACCATGGAAACAGAATAGAGGAAATACATAGTGTAAGAAATACTGTTGCTGTTATGATGACTATAAAGAGTAATGTATTCTGCATCAAAGTGTAATTGTTGTTTTGATATTTCTGAAGCTTATCTTTTGGAAAACTGTCAGTTCAGATTCAGAGGAAAGTTTGATCATCTCATTACTATGCATGTATTTTGCCCTGCCGGGTTCTGTGGTTTAGGGAAAAAAAGAAAATGCAGATTTGCCTTTTTGTTACTGAAATTAAAAATAAGAAATCTTAATAAATACTATTCCAAGTAGGATTTGTCAGGATTATGCTAATTTTTAGTTTTAAACTAAATATATTTATAAATGTGCATTTAGATGCATTCCAGAATTAATTTTCAGCTGTGACCCTGTATAACTAAATGCACATAATACAATTACTATTATAATTTTGTCATTACTCCTTTATTTTGGCTAAGGGTTACTTCTTGCTTGTCTGGTTCTACGCATTTAACTTTAAATATGTGCTGTGTGTATTTGTGTTATCTTTACAAATGAAGCTAGCCTTAGTAATTTCACTGAATTATTAAGGCGTGCGTGCTTAAAAGCTATGCGTGAATGAAAGGGTGAGAGTGTAGGATGTTTTTGAGTATCTGCATAGTCTTCAACATAAAAAAGCTGTTAGTCAATTATGTCAGAAGTTCAGTGCAGCTTGCTAAAAACTACAAGCTGTGAGCAGTAAAATCTGTTATTTGTGAAGAATTCTTTGTGGTCATTGTGTTAAATATTCAAGTGAGTTAAATATTCAAGATTCAAGTTCTCTGTACTGTTTTTACCAGTGAAAGCCACAGACCCAATTGTTATTATTTTAACCAATTGCAGTGATTCTGTATTGTTCCTTTTATTTTTTTGTTGACCATGGGTAAAGAGGATTTATTTGTACACTGTTCTCAGTTGTGTCCGTAGTTGACAATAGCAGTTAAAGCTTGACCTAGTTAAAAGTTGGTTTGTACCAATCTTTGTTCCACAAGAATGCTGATGGTCGCAGAGGTTTTGTGCAGAAATACATTGATAAAAGCTAGGAAAAAGTAAAGTTGCTCTTAAACACATTAAATAATTCTTTTTACCTGTGATAGGATTAAGCAAGTAATCCTATTTTTACAGGTGGTGACAAAGTGATAGATGTAATAGATGTAGCAAGACAAGCAGACAGTAAAATGAAGCTCCATAATTATATTAAATATTTCACAAATCCTGACCGACCAAAAGTGTTGAACGTGATCAGCCTGGAATTCTCGGACACGAAGTGAGTATTGACTGCAATTTCTTGAATGTAGGAAGTGGTTTTCACAAAGGTGAACAGTATGTATACGGATGTCATGTCTTTAGCACTAAAGTTAAGAGGCTGCATATTTTATGTAGACAGTTAGATGTAATATGGGTATAAAACAGTTTTACTAATTCATAAGTAATAATTTGGTTGGAAATGTGCATTTAATGCTGTTGTTTGGGGGAAAAAAAAAAACAAAACAAAACAAAAAAAACCCACCAAAAAACAAAAACTAGAGGCACTTGCACTTGATCTTATTTATGTATTTATTTATTTATTTTTTCTTAAAGGATGTCTGAGTTAGTGGAAGTACCAGATATTGCCAGAAAGCTTTCATGGGTGGAAAATTATTGGCCAGATGATTCTGTCTTCCCTAAGCCTTTTGTTCAGAAGTATTGCTTGATGGGTGTCCAGGACAGCTATACTGATTTTCATATCGATTTTGGAGGAACTTCAGTTTGGTACCACGTTCTCTGGGTATGAAGGCTTTTTGCTTAATGATTGTATGAAACAAAAAATTATTCAGTGTGCAGCTTTCTGTCATGGCATTATTGCCTCTTCAGAGTGAAATTGTGTACTTAGAAAGACAGGTGAGGAGCTTGAAAGTGAATTCGTGATTGTTAGTGTCTTGTTTTCATGCTTCTATTTTATCACACTGTTGGTGACTCCGGTGCTATGTGGTTGGCTGACCATTTTAATTGATCAGTAGGTTTTACAGTACGGTTTTAGTATTTATTAAAAAATGAATTAAATGAGAATCAATGACACTGTTGAGTTTTTTTTACATTACAAGATACGTACCCCTTCTTCCCCTTATCCTTATTGGTTACTGTCCTATTGACTAAGCTTTTGTGCAACTGCAGTTGTGAAACACTGAGTTAGGAAACACCAGTGTCCCCTAGTAGAACTACAGAATTCTGCCATTTATATGGGGTGCGTTTAGTGCAAATGACTCAGAGGTTGTACTGTCTGCCCAGGAGGATGTGCATTTATTTATTTGATGCTTTTGTTGAATAGGGTGAAAAAATATTCTATCTGATCAAGCCCACTGATGAAAATTTGGCTCTGTATGAGTCCTGGAGCTCATCTGTCACCCAAAGTGAAGTATATTTTGGAGACAAAGTTGACAAATGTTACAAATGTGTTGTAAAGCAAGGACACACTTTATTTGTTCCAACAGGTAAGATATTACTCTTACTGCTAGAACTTAACATGTTTAATTACCAGGAATTAAGGATGTCCTAAAATGACACATTACGTTATCAATATTTGTTTTATCTTGGAATTTTCAAACAAACAAAAACCACCACTGTGAGAACTGGAGTATGGCATAAGACTCAGTAAATGGTGCTGATTTTAAGCAACCCTTAATGGTGCTGAGACAGTAATGACAAGAGTTAATTGTTAGTTTAGTCATTGTCTGGGAGGTGTGCATGTGATAGAATTGCAGTGCACATCTTCCTTGATCCTTCATCTGCTATGATGAGTGAAAAAGTGAAACTATAATGATAAAGGCAAAATGCAGTTGGAAAAACAAGGCAGTCTTCATTGTGCTGCGCTTTGCAAAGAACAGAAATTAAAAAAAAAAAAGCAATTTATAATATTAATTAAAAACAAACACGACAAAACCAACACACACCAACCCATACGTTGCTTGTGCTACAGTACTCTATAGAATGGTACATGAAAGGCTGAAATTTCCTCCACAGGCAATAGAGCAGATGTGGTGCTTACTCAGCATAATTGCTAGTTTCAGATCTTTCTCTCTGTATGTGGTGCCCCAAAACTGAAATTGGTTGGTTTTAGCTGAATGAGGGCATGGATTTAGTGCTAGTTAGTAATATATAGTTATGATTTGGTCTGACCTTGCATCAAGCTGAGAAGCTTTCTCAGTTTATACATGTTGCCTATTCTCAGTCAAAACACAACGTAATCTGCAAATCTGTGACCAACTGCTCTTTTGAAAGATCTGTATGCGTGTTAAATAAGAACAAGTCTGTGTGCATATTTTTAGCTTATTTACATTAAAAACGCACAGTCAAAATCTTCAGTGCAAATTTTTAATTAGGATGCTAATATGTTCTTTTGTACACTTAAGTGAAATTATCCAGTAGCAATTGGCTGGATTGATAGTGTAGTGTTGGTCATGCTTTGCCATATTGAATGGTAGTGTTTATAGGGACAGTATTTTAATTATGTGCCAAATTAGTGTTCTTAGAATATCTAGATTGTCTTAAATTAATCATAATTTCACTGGAACTGGGAGGGATGTATTTATTAATAATGTATAGAGTTACTTCTGGATTCTTACAGTATTGCTAAATGATGGGTTTTTTGTGTTGTGCTAATAGTTGAGTTACGTAAGCAACATGTAAACATGAATATAATTTTTATTTGTCTTCCTTTGTCTTTTGCTCAATATGGTTTTTCTGTAGTATTTCCATTATTGTTTATTGGAAGGGGAACTTTGGGGAATCTTTTACTTGAGAAATTAGTCCTGTTCTGTCCCCTCAACTTCCACCCAGTCAAAATGTCTTGAAGACCTTCTTATGTTCACAACGCCTTTACTAACCTGCAGTTCAACTAGATTTCTGAAACATATTGTAATCTGTATGTTAAAAACAGGACTATTTGTTCCTTTTCCATCTCTTTTTCTCTTTTTTTTTTTTTTTCCTTTTCCCCTACCTTTTTTCTTCTTCCTCTCCCCTTTTCTCCCCTCTTTTTCCTATCTATTTTAGTATGTACATGCAAGTACTTAAAAATAGTCTTTAAAGTAATCTGTATGTATGTACTAAGTTTCTGAATCTTTTGTGTCAGGCTGGATTCACGCTGTGCTCACATCTCAGGATTGTATGGCTTTTGGAGGAAACTTTTTACACAACCTCAATATTGGCATGCAGCTCAGGTTAGTCTCAACTCTTACTGTACCTTTTCCTCAGTAAATAGGATATGCTTTTAATAGATATTTTTCTTTGTGCTTGTAACCAGGATCAAATGGGTACAGGCTCTCAAAGCAGACGATAATGGCATTTTCAGTTAGACTGTATCCACCACATACTCTTATTTCATTTCTGCAAAGTTCGTGTCAAAACTGAAGGGTATGCATAATTTAATTAAAAACAAAGTAAACCTCACCCCCCAACCCCATTACTTTGGAGGTTAGTATGAATAAATAAACCAAAACTGAGCAAGCCCAGGTGTGCAACACTGAGTTGAAATGAGCATCCTCAAGTCAGCATTGCTCAAAGGGCAGCTGTGTTTAGTTTTTGTCCAAGATGTGGAGCTGTCTTCTAAACATATTGTTTTTATTTATTACAGTGGAATCCTGATAAAATTCCATCTGTTAAAAGATCACACACTGGGTTTGTATCCTAGTTTTATGAAGTCCAACTTTATTCTTAGAAGTGCAGCAGTCAAACTTGATAAGGTCAGAGCCTGGATGAGACCAGAGTTGAATCTTGTCTGTGGTCTTGTTGGGGTTTAACTATGTTGTACTTGACTTTTTTTTATTTAACATGGCCGTGCTTATTTTATTTTATTTTGGACATTGTATCAATTTGAATAATTACATAGTTAAAAAAATAAGTTGGATGACATGAATGCTTTTAGTTAATGTTTCTGTTTGTTCAGGTGTTACGAAATGGAGAAGAGGCTAAAAACCCCAGATCTTTTCAAATTTCCTTTCTTTGAAGCCATCTGTTGGTTTGTGGCCAAAAACTTACTGGAAACATTAAAAGGTAATCCTTGTCTTACTTTTTATGGTATACATGTGTCTGCTTTTATGTTTCATTGACAGTGGAAGAAATTATGTTGCGGCTGTTTGAACAGATGAAATGTTTTGAGCTGAAAAGCCAGATAGTAATTTGTGGTGTTTTTTTGTTTTTTTTTTTTTTTTTTGGGGGGGGGAGGGGGAGGAGGAGGCAGTGGTATTTATTTTTTTTCTTCCAAGTCACATTTTTTTAAACCATATTGTAGTAAATACTGCACTGTTTCAGTTGTAGATTTAACAAGTCATAATACGGGCTTTAGTGCAACACAAGATCTTTCTGAAAACGTCTTTGGGGTTTAAAGCTTTCTAGTGTAACTAGGGCTGTGCAGAATTTGTGGTGTACAAGATGATGTGTATAACTAGCATTTTATAGCAACCTACTGGAACTTTTGAATTTTTTTATTGGTGTTTTTTTTTTCTCCAATGCTAATAGTGTATCTGACTAATGAAGATATTCTGATAATCTAGAATATCTATTGCACAGTGCAATTATATACCAAACAGATAGGATTAATTTCCCAGTACCTGAAAAGGCCTTGTTAAGGCAGATATGATTTCAACATTGTTGCTTTTTACAGTAGACCTCTCCCATATCATTTTAGATCTTCAAGTATCCTTTGGAAGCCTTTCTCTCCTTCCTTCAGTAGATGACTCTCTAAGCGATGCCACTGATTTCTATCCCTGGGCTGATACATGATGGCTTTACTGTTGAATGTAAAGGTTTTCTTGCATTTCTGTGATTTTTTTGACCTTTTCAGTCAAGCTACCTGTTGTCTTTTGCTCCTTCTTGTCAAAGAAAAAGGCATCCATAAGAGTTTTTGGAGGAGAGATGTACCAGTTCCTGTGAGCAGTGCCAAGTGACTTATATTGGTGTTTAACAGTAGACACCTCAAAAGGCACTGATTCTTGACAGTTTCCAGTCCTTTGCAAACTTCCTTATCTAGTCCATTAATTTTGTTACTATACCCATGTGTAATTGAGCCTGACCTTACCTTCTTCTTCTCAAATGTCTCACCTCTCTAACTGCTCTGTTTAATCTTATTAATAAATATCATGTTTCAAATTATGTATTTCAAATAAATGTGCCTTCAGAGGAGACTGCAGAATTTAGCCTCTGCTCTGGAAGAGATCACTCACATAACCTTTTTATAAGGTGAAAACGGTATTGAAAATTATCTGCTGTCCTTTCAGCCATGAAATTTAGAAAGCTTTTAGAAATTTTACCAAATAAAGATTTTTTTTTTTAACTTGCAAAAAAATTGTTTTCTTCTTGAAAGCTTTCTTTGGTAGTAGGTCTCGTGTTTGTGTAATTAAAATTTACAGATGTGTCAGAAAATGTGGGAGTTGTATTTCTGCTGGAAAATCAGTGGGATGTATGTTCCTGAGTAACCTAGAGCTGAAGCTATGCGTTTCATCTCTTCCCCTCTTTTATCATTTTACTCCTTGCTTGAGTGGGTAGACTAGGAGCCTCTTGTGATACATGGCTCATATCTTAAGTGAGGAATATGAAGCTTATTTCCATGTTATTTTTAATCTGTGGCTTATTGTGAAAATTCAGGATTTAGTCTGTCATTGCTAAAGTGATGGTTAAGTTGGGCTTTGGCATCAACTTTCACATTTGCAAAATGTTTACCAGGCAGAATCCTTTGCTTTTAAATAAGGAATGGTACCAGTTCTGTTGTGAAATGTGATTACTAATACCAGTTTGTAATACATTGAGCACATGATTTTTAGCAGTGCTTTGTGAAGTTCAGGTCAGTAAGCAAAATTGGCACGCCATATCTTCCTGGTTCTTTTTATGAAAGGATGACAACAAGTCATGCAACTGGTTTTGTCTTTTCATGGGCAAGGAGTATATTCTGATGCTGTGAGCTATATGGCGTTTGCGTACATTTTTCTCTGCAGTTCTAGGGACTTAAGAAGAAGCGATTTGTCCATCAGTACAATGCTGATTAGCTTTGATTAGTCTTATATAACACAGTGCATATTTTTAGCTGCAGTAAAAGAATAAAAAAAAAGTTTTTCAAAATCCAGTGCTAAAAATGTAGTGCTGCATTGTATTCTCAAATTTTTATCAAGTCACAGCAAGTGGGCAGTTGGACTCACGCTGCAGCTCAGCTTAAAGGCCTTGCTATTCTTCTCACACCCTTTAAGAAGTAGGAACTCCATTGGAGAACTGTGGTTTGGAAGCAGAACTTTTTTTTTTTTTTTTAATTGAGTTTTTTTTTTTTTTGGACTTGCAAAATGGCAACTTTATTGGTTGAAGGATAGGTATCATTCTACTGTTTTTACTTACTATGTTTTTGTTGATGTCTGTGTCCTTCTTAGAACTGAGAGAAGATGGTTTTCAGCCTCCAAGCTATTTAGTGCAAGGAGTGAAAGCTTTACTTACTGCTTTAAAACTATGGATGAAAAAAGAGGTAAGTACCAGTAGTCTTATTTACTGTTTCAGTGAATTCTGACTTTATTTAAAAATAATTGAAGATCTGTGTCCTTGACATACTTAAGATTATTTTTCTGTTAATGAGTAATGAAAGACTATGGAGAGTATGTGCTGCTGACCTGGGGAAGAGTCATGAAAATTTTATGTTGTGTGACACTAATGATGTCTTAGCCCAGTGAGTAAGTTCTTGCATGATAGCTGGTAGGAACAGAATCTTGCTTCATCTCAGCATGGGATAAGAATTCTGGAGAGGTCATTGAGCCTTTTGTTTATACAGTCAATTCATCCTTATCTGAGGCAATGGAGGTACAGAATGCTGTGATATTTAGGGTTTTCCATTAATGTGAGTGCTTTGGAGAGTACATTTCAGGTATATCTATACTGCTGAAAAATCGGTTTCAATTGAGGAGGATATTAACTTAATTAGAGTACTGTCTCTGATGAAGATTTGCTGGCCTGTAAAATCGTTAGTGTGTTGTCAACACTGACTTTGCTACTGCTCTCTAGGAAGGCTTATTTGCTTTGGCACAGCACTGGACTCATCTTCACCGAAGTGACATTATCTTTGTTTCTGCAATGTTTTAAAGCTGCCTAGAGTTACAAAATGCTGAGAATAGAGATTGAGGGATGCTAAAATATTTTTACTTTTTATGTCTTGATTTGGATTCAATTTGTGCAAGGTTTTTATTGATATATTTATCTTCTGGTTTCTCTGGTGCAGAGCGTCAGTCTGCAAGCTGGTTAATATGCACAATAAAGATGATGACTTATCCAGTCATCTGATCTCTTGGATTGTAGCTCTGGCTTCCTTCCAACTTACATAAGCAACAGGCCTCAGATTCTATTTTTGAGATGTTTGATCCATGTACCAGTAAGATTATTTGGGGTAACTGTTCTGTTGTGGGTTTTTTTTTGTCTGTTTTTTTTAAATAGCTTTTTATAAAATTAATTAGCTAATTTTTTTTTTTTTTTTTCAAAGGATGGGTGCTCAATTGTGTTTTAATGTTATCAGAATGCTTAATTGTGATGGTAATTTGTAAATATTGGTGAATTCATGTGCCTACCAAGACTATTTGAATATATATATATTCTTGATCACCTATTTCTTTTTTCCCAGCGTTTATAAGTGGCTCTGGGCAGCCTGATCTGGTGGTTGGGGCCCTGCCCATGGCAGGGGGTTTGAAACTAGATGATCTTTGGGGTCCTTTTCAACCCAGGCCATTCTGTGGTTGTACAATTCTATGAAATTATTTCTTGAGTTCAATGTATCACAGTTTTTTTCCACCATTTACTTTACCTGCTTAGATATCAGTTTGAGTTTATTGACATATTTAAATTGCTTGGCTGGATTTTTTTTCCCCTAATTATTCTGACTCAGCTTAGTAGAGAAAGCTTGGGTGTGGAGAGATACCTTTTATAGTAGCAAACAAATGAGCTTGCAGATGGAGCTTCCTCTCTCAAAGTACTTGCACTTTACCTGTGAAATATCCGTTTCTTCTGGTACAAACTGTGTTTGCTTTAGAGAGGCTTGTCAGTGTTTTTAAACCAGGTGAAACTTTCCAGTCAGTGTTTTGGAAAATTGTATCAGAGTCACTTCCTCTTGTAGCCATCATGGACAGGAAGGCTCTTTGGAACAGTCCTTATGTTGAAAGGACTGAGTGGTCCTAAAATTATCATTAAGTTACTGGAAAACTTGTCTGATGCTGGAGATGCTGTGTTCCCAAGTATGAAGCAGAGTATAAAGGTGATGCACTTGAGAATGAACAGTGGTAAATAATAGCAGCAGATTTTATCTTGCCTGTATAATGATACTGAAATGAATATAGCATGGCCGTACTTACAACTAGTTTTTAATGACTTGGAGGAAGCCGGATGCAGTGAAGTATGTTTGCAGTATCAATTTGCTTCTAGCAATAATTGTTGAATAGCAATAATTTTTGAAGTGTGGATAGCTGAAAGTGTCTGTGGGACATTTTTGCATTTAAATAGTTAACTGAGGGGATACTGGAGTTCATGTCAGTCACTGTGTTCTGTGTGTCAGCGTTTTGTCTGCTTCATTCTAACTAAGTGTGTCTTGGGGCAAATTTAAACTAGATACAAAATACAAAACTTGTTTTCCTAGGTCTAAATGTAGAAACTTTGGACCTGCTCAGATTGATAATAAATGTATAGTAGATCTGCCTGTGCTCTGGTACTATTTCAGAGGATTAAAAGGAGCGAACTCTTATAGCTTTCTGAGTTGTTTTTATAGGGAATGGTTTTGAATTGCTTTCTCCAACCTACCACGTTTTAAACAAGCTGAGAAGGTCATTTAAAAAATGAGATATGAGGCAGATGTCTAAAATCTGCTTGTTGGCTACTCATTCCTCATTTGCTATTTAGGATATATTATTTCATAGAGAAATTCTGTTTCTGAAAATCTTTAATTATTTTCCTGAGTCTGTCTCTGTACTGACTGTGCTGAAAGGGAAGTAAAAAAAAGTTAATTATGGAGGAAGGAAATGAAACAAATATCAGAATGGCTTTGTATTAACACTTCTTTGGAGTTTCTTGGACAATCTGTGGGATGTCTAACCTTGAGCCCTTGTATATCTTGAACATCGCACCACTGGGGGGTATCTGCTCCCTTCTAAATCTTGGACTTGGAGCTTTGATTTGTGTATTTCTGCCCTGGCAGTTTGCTGTAATAATTAAATTAATCAGGTCTCTTCCTTTAACTTCTTTTTCCTGTAGTTTTGTTTATTTTATACTACCTCTGCTTAACTAATTATCTTCATCCTTTGCATGCAGCTTGTAACAGAACATGCCTTTGAAATTCCAGACAACATTAGGCCTGGACATCTCATAAAAGAGCTCTCAAAAGTGATTCGTTCCGTAGAGGTAAGAATGGAGGCAACCCTAAACTCCATAGAAAAATCTTTTAATCAGGGCCTTTGCTGATTATATTCACCTTTGTATTTATCTTAATGTTTGTTTTCTAATAGAAGACTAAGAGAAAACTGTTGGAAATACCATGAAGTTTGTATTTCAGATAAAGTATGGTGAGGATGTTTTATGTAATTGTTAAATAAAAAAACTCACACAATTTTAATGGTGAAGTTATTTGTAAATTTGTATTTCTAAAATGAACCCACACATTTTATTATTATAAATTTATATATAGCTTACAGCAATAATTACGGGTGTTATGAGTTCCTTTGAAATTCTGTCTGTATTCTGTTCTTCCAGCCCCTTGTCTGTTAGTTGTGGGCCAGCCATCATCTCATTTTCTTATGCTTTGTCCCTGTTTGTTGTACAGTCAGTGTTTTAGGGTCTTTTTGCTCCTCCTGCCCTCCATCGTAGCAGAGTTTTGCTCCTTTATTCCTTAATATCAGTTCTCGAAACTACATTTGTGTGTGGAAGGAGTTCTGAAAACTGAAGACAAAACTGATCTGTTGGCTATGGTACAGATATGCCATATACCCTACCTTGCCTTCACAAACAAATGTTGGTGCTGAGTTCTGTTATGGGAAAGTTTAAAAGCCCCACATGGGGATGTAGAAGTATATAACGAAACCTTGTACAGCAAATAATAGCAAACATGCTTCTCTAAAAGTTCTTAAAATTTTATTGATATGACATGCAATTTATTAGAGGAATGGGTAGCAGCACTTTATTTTATTTTTTTTTTTAAATTAAAGGAGGAAAACAACAAACCAGTGAAAACTCAGGGAATTCTTGGTGTGTGTTCAGCTTCACGGTCTTCACATGAAACAGCTTCTCCTCACCACTCGAGACGAAGGGTGAGGAAACTGCGAGACCATGCTACCAAAACTCCTTCTAATCTGGATATCTTAGAACTCCACACAAGAGAGGTACTGAAAAGGCTGGAGATGTCACCGTGGGAGGAGGCAAGTATTGTGTTACATAAAAGAAAAAAAAAAGCCAGAATAGAGTAATTTCTAACATGTTTTCAAAGGGAAAAGGTTTTAATGTCCATAAAGAAAGCAGCCTACTAACGTTTGCTGTATGAGCTATGTGTAGATAGTTCTCCACATAGAACTTTCTCTCTTCCTCGGTACTTTTTTGTGGACCTTCCTTCAACATTTTTTTTCCAAAAATGCCCTGAATCCATCACCTACTGCATGTATAGTTTTTGAATTAAGGCTGCTGTGGCTATTAGGTGCTACTTTGAATCTGCTCCACGTAGAAAGTGGAAAGCTTTCAAAGCTTTGGTTTCAAAGCTTTGGTTCTGTGAAGCTCTGGGCCAGACTTGCTTCTCTGTGAGCTTTTAGGTAGCTGCTTACTACAGTTCAGTTACTGTAATTTGATGAGCTTCATTTTTCCTTTATGTTTCTGTTTTCTCTATGACTGTGTCTTCCTTCCAGTAAGCCTAAGTTTGCCTTGGTCTCTAGTGTGGTTTTGTTAACTGATCAGTTGTATTACAACACCATCACAGACTGTATGAGAAAGATACAGTCTCTTGATATATTATCTTTTCAGATTTGATGGCCTCGTTTCAAAAAATAGAAGCAGAAATGGGAGAAAGAGCATGAATGTGGAAATAAGTAACCTTCTGAAAGGAAATAAGTAGTTTTCCGAAAATGAGAAATGCAGACAACTGTGTCAGGACCTATTGACCTTTATAAGACAAAAACAAGAGACATACATTTTAGCTCCTGAAGAAAAGAAGCTGAGCTTCAGTTTTAGCACAAATAATAGACCTATGCATTTATGTATTTAAAATGTTCAGGAGTATCAGTCATTGTCATTTCATGTGGAAAAAAACTGTTCTCTATCGTTTAAAAAAAAAAAAACAACAAAACAAAACTATTGTCTTTATTCCTCATTTAGCACATAAACCTGTTATTTGATTCTTTAAGAGTTTGTGTCAAACATGAATTTCTTTCAGCCTAGAAAGTTTTTCTTTAGACAGGCTGCTTTCCGTTATGAAAGTTTTACTGTACTCTTGAGTAAATTCTGGAACACTAATTCTAGAGAACAGACAGCTAATCCAGGAGTTGCTTTATCAATTCCCAGCCCAGCTTCTCCAAAAGAAATCCAAAAGGAGTATTGTAGAGATTTTGCAGATATTACAGATGCTTCAGGAAACTGCAGATGATTTGAGGAAAAGGAAGAAACAGCAAACTGCATCTTCTGTCTAAACATGTGTTGTCTGAGCTTTCTTCAGTTGGTTATCAGAAAAGTAGAAGCATCCTGGTGTTGAGTTGAAGCTTTTATAGTGTGCAGAAAAAGCAATCTAATTTATAGAAACTAATACTGATCAATAGTGTTTTTACTTCTTTAGGACATAGCAAGCTCAAAACTGAATGGGAGATTTAACAAGCCCTTTCAACCGTCTTCTACAGTACCTGACTGGCGAACAAAGGACAATGATCTTCGCCTTGTGCTGTCAAATGGAAGAATCATTAGGTACAACTAGTTGATTGGGAATCACTTATTCCTAGTCACTATGAACCAGAACATGCTATTTTTATAATAATAGTGTTTATTTTTTGTTTCTGTAGCTCTGCGTTTCCTTTTACCAGTAAGATTCATGTGAAAAAGACAGAAGAAATATGTTGACTGTTGTGTTTGCTGGCCCCTAGTGGAGTCACAGTTATGTAGTAAAGAGTAGGAGATGCTTTGCAAACTCCTTTCCTATGGCATTTCATTCAGTGGCTCAGTTGGGTCACTGTATTAGGGTAATTTTAGTTAAAGATATTTTGATGTAAAGCTTTGCACTGTTTGTTAGTTACAATTGCCCAGGGTGCAAAATGGGAGTATGTGCAGTTCAGAACCAAGAGGTGAATATGAGAGAATGCTCCTGTTATTGTCTCAGTGATGTCCTTTAAGTAATTGAGGAAGACAGTTGCTTTGCATTGTAAGAATAATATGTTATTTTTCTTGTGAGACAGAGATGAAAGACGTCCGTTTACAGATCGCAGTCTTTACACGGCAGATAGTGAAGACGAAGACGACAGGACAAGGTCGAAAAAGGTGACTGTTAAGAGACAAGATCAGACCTCAGGATTTGAAGGAGAAGGGAATGCAGATGCCCAAAAACCACTGAACAGTAAGCTTGTCTCTAAGTCCTACCGATTCAACATTTCGATGGTCTTAAGGAGGGTCTAATATTGTGAAAACTAACTGCAGTTTTACTGAAGTATAGAGAGGATAGACTAACAAATCAAAGAAATTAGTATTAAAAATTGCAATGATGGGTTTAATCAAGTGTTACTGGATATTTTTATTCTACTGAAGAAGCTAACAACAGTGTAGAGTTGAAAGCAAAGCTAATCGTTTTACATTGGTGCCATTTTGGATACTGTGTATGGCATCTTTCAGAGTGGAGGTTAAATTGGTGTTTTAGGTATTATTTGAAAGGTATTTGTTAACGTTGGTCAGTTCCATAATGTAGGAATGCTGATTTATTTATTTATTTATTTAATCAAAATTTATCATATAATTCACTTGAGAGAATAAAAATGCATCTGGTATCAACCCCATCTTATCTTTCTTCTTTTCTGTTCCATTTGGTGGCTACTTATTTGGTGTTACAATTTTGTACACTTTGCCTAATGAATAGGTTTATTCCATACAGGCAAAGAATAGAACTTAGCATTAATTAAATCTTAATGCTTTCAACATTTTCAGTTATATGCAAGGTTGAGGAGGAATTCAATATTGTCGTTAAAACACTGTAACTCCTCTTTTCAGTACTTTGTATCTAAACCATCTATCAATAGGAGTTATCTTTGTTGACCTTTCTGAAACCTCAAGTCTTTCTGCTAGGTGTTCAGCAGTGCTGATCACAAAGTCTGTTAGTGAATTACCAATAGAAAATGCCTGTTTTCTGTACTTTTTTTTTTCAGTAGCTCTGCCTGAGTATGGTGAAAATTCAGCTCTGTTTAACTCTCTGTTTAGTTGTGAAATTCACATACTTTCACTGTTGGGCTTACCAGAGGCTGAGAGGAGATATATTAGCAAACTAAGGTCAATGTTTGTAAGATGAATAATTAAAGAAAAAAAAACAACCTCTATAGACCTACAGTTCCCTTGGTTTCCTGCACATCTGTAACAATGTTTGAGTCCATTGTCAGCCTGGTAAAATATTTATTTTTGCTAACAAAGTGGTTTGTAGTCTCTGTTGACTTGTGTTTCCAAGGGTCACAGAGGACAGTATTTAAAATCTGCACAAGAATGAGATCCTCCTATGTACTTATGAACAAAAAAGGCAAATGGCTTATTGGGTAAAGGTTAGGCATAATGTTGTGTTTATCCACTTAAAAGCTAAGTTTTACACTTGAATTGAAGATCAAATCATACACAGAAATGATACATTTCCTTCAAAATTGTTGTTCTTACTTGATACCTCAATGATTTGGCAGTGGGCATCTAAATCTAAGAAACACATTTAGAACTAGAAGTGAATGTTGAGATTCTTCCAGAGGTTGAGCACTCTAGGCTTTCCCTAGTTTGTAGTTCAATGGTAAGAATCTGCAGACCTCCCTATTAAGAATCACCTTCCTCTGGTTGTGTTATTTTGTCTAATCTGAAGGTTTACAGAGAGGGAGAAACTTTTCTTCTGCTGTGAATTCCATAAAGGAACTACCTGTTTCTATAACGGGCTGCTGCCTTCCATTGTTCTTACTGGGCTTTTGGCCAAGAGGTAATGTCTGTAGAGAGATGCCTTTAAATAGGTCAAGTTATACAACATTGCGTATCATGCCAAGATTTGGGTTCTAAATGGTGACCAAGGCTTAAGAGAGATCTGGTGCAGTGAGCAAGGTGCTTCTGGTGGATGGGAGGAAGATGAGTTAAGATGTTTACAGTAGGTTAGCTTAATCTTTTAGCTTTCATTCATGTGATTTTTGGAGTATTCCTTCCAGTCTCTGGAAACATACAATCTTGTACTTAACCTTTACGTGAAGATAGACTGATTCTTCTAAAATTCAGTAATTACCACGATACTGAACCAAAATAACCCCAACAAACCACCCAAGCAAACAACAACAACAACAAAACTATTGAAAATCACCTAAGCAATGGTAAGCAATACCAACATGTATATTTACAGCAATTTTTCTTTTTTAAAGCTCAATTGCAAATCACAAACGTGACAAGATGAGGGTTCCTGACAATATATACTGTGTGCCTCTGAATGTCTGTAAATGTGTGCGAAACCTGACAAAACTAGGGGAATCATTTGTGGGGCAGTATAGAAAACAGAAATAGGCAACTAGACACTTGTGAGTTCATTGATTTGCTCATGGCTTGCAAAATAAACAAGAGTTAGAAATGGGCAGCGGTTTGGCTGCCTGTAGGTATATTTGCACAGCCAAACAGTGCAGACCTAAACTGAGACTCATAGGATGTTATGTCACATATGGTAGTACCCAGCCCCAGATGAACCAGAAAATACGAGGTTCTACATTAGCACTGCTTGTCTTACATCTTACATCTTCTTCATTGTTTTGGTATTTAGCTAATTATGTGCACCTCCCATTTTTTCCATCTTGTCAAACCATTCACCTTCTCGTATATTTCGCTGAAGGTTTACATTTCTTCTTAAAAGTTTTGTTGATTTAATATTAGGAATTTCAAGTTTCCTTGGATTGAAATAAGAGTAGTTCTTGAGGATCCTTTATCAGCCTTATGTTTTCTAATTGTGTCTCACTATTCACACACAAATTTTTGCTGCTTCCGACTTTGGAGAAGTGCTTTTCTTGAAAAAGACATGATAGAGTATTCTAAAGGAGAATTCAGTTGAGCGGTATGATAGTGTTATCTTATGTATTGTCTGTTCTATTACTTGTCCCAGGAATCTTTTTCTTTCCTTTTTTTTTTTTTTCCTTAAGCCAAAGGCTTAAATTATCGTCAGAAATCCTCCTCTCTTCCCTCTTTTTTGATCTACAGTCATTCAGAATATGTACTTTATTGTCATATGTTGAATATTTTGGCCCAAATTCATTTACACTTTATTGCTCATTTACTATATTGGGATATTCCTCACAGTTCTTTGTAGTGCTGTTTTAAGTTTAGTTATATTTTGGTCCCAGGCTTTCATTTTATTCCCTTTCTGATAATCAGTCTTATTCTTAGCTTTCTTCTAACTCTCAAAAAATTTCTTATTTTGCAAAGTTCAGAACTTATTACTATTCCTTGAATGTATTTGATGCCTATTTATGAGTCTTGCAACAGTCCACAGTAGAGACAAAATCCTACTGGAAATATGTTACCAACTATCTCTCTAATGTTTGTATAATTAATTTAGCTACAAAGATTGCATTCTTTTTATGTTTCATATAAAACTGTCAAAAGAAAGACAACATTCTATCTCTACTTGTCTTTGTTTCAGAGCTGATTTCTGAACTGTGCTAGTACTAAATATATGGTACCTGTTTCAGTTTCTTATCAGAGACTTTGTAAAAAGCACTTCAGAATTTTTATGTTGCTTTCTTTTCACACTACTTTCTTGACATACATTTGAAAGTTCTTCATTCTGTTCATACCTTCATTCTGATACATGTCTTTTCTCGAAAACATACTTGCCAGCTAATCTGTGTATTGTAGTCTTCCATTACTTTGTACTTAACCAAAATTTCAGCCAGCAATCTGGACATAGATATACAGCCTTAGATGATTCTGAACTCTTAAAGTTTGATATTTGGAACACAGACTGTCCTAAGAGGTGAATGCTTCTGAGAGCATCTTAGCTACTTGGTACTTGAGTTCCTTCAGTAATTGAGTAAATCAGGTGGACTAGATGGCTGATTTAATTGATTGTTTTGTCACGTGCCAGTGTTTTTGATGTCTGTTTTGACAGGTCATTCTCTGATTGTACTTTATCTTACTACTAGCAAAAATTCTTCTCTTCACCCCTTCCTTTACAGGTCTTGATGTGATGAAAACCAATGAAAGAACATTGTGAATCATCACAATAATATTTTAATCTTCTGTAACAGATCGTCATTGTAACCTCTGTTTGGCAGCTCTTCGGTAGCACAAAGCATTCAGAATATCTGAGTTGTGATGTAAAATTGCAAGTAACACAATGTTTTGTTTTGTGTTTTTTTTTTCTTTGCCTTTGTCATTGAGTATTTTCTTACTTCTGTGAATAATGTTTCTCTGTGACCACTCTTATTTTACACCAAGGGAATCTCAGACTTAGAGTCTGAGAGTGAATTAAATCTACTGCAAGCCTACTCCACTCTTTCTGGGACCCACTTTAGCATATATACAAAAGTGAGAATTGTCTGAACTGTCACTGTTGCCACCTGTGCAGTTTGTGTTCTTTGGGCAGTAAAAGGTGTGTGATTTCTTTTCCTCTGCCCTCATCCAGTGAGCCACTTTACAAGTCTGCTGGTCAACAGTGGTTTGATTCAGAACTTTGAGGAAACTTGACTTGTGAACCAGATCAGTGAATAGTTATGTTTTGTTATTGTTGAAAACAGATCGTTAGAAACACAGAATGTTAATTTTTTACATTCCTCATAATTGTTAAATATTCCGTTTAATAAATATTTCCTTTTTAATTTTTCTCTTCACAGTGTTCTTTGAAAGCGTGAAATCAGAACTCAGGAAAGGATCCTCAGTGTACTCTGATATTTCTGATTCAGAAGAATCTGAGCCTGATTGCACTACACAGGTAGGGCTAGAAAAAGTTAACAAAACAATTCAGGATAATTTTGTTCATTTCAAATTTATCTGGGAAATAAAATACTTAATGCTTGTTCAAGGCAGTATTTCAAACTCTACACTTTTACCTCATTCTTAATTTATTTTTGTACTGAGGAATGTGGCAAGATGTGCCATCTTGAGGCAAATGCTATGATCTCATTTGCCATTAAGATGGGATTGGCAAAGGATGACTCTGCTCTGGATCGTGCAAAGGCTGGGAAAGGATAAATAACAGTTACTTTGTCCATTTCTTTTATAATGAAGCTAAATTTAATCATTTGAGTTATGAGTGTCTGCCATGCTGTTTCATTTTAAAGCATGGTTAAATGAAAACAATCCTATAAATATCCAATTTATTTTTAATAACCTTAAGTAGCTAACCCCTAATGAGGCATTTCAGACTACTCAAAATAAATGGAGATCCTCCTTTTGAATGCCTAGACTTTAATGGTATCTTTACAATTAAATTAAATACTTTATACAAGCATGTAACTACCCTTGGATCACTTTGTCATGGAATGAAGTGTTTTGTATTAATGCCACTGATTCCTCAGGACTATGTTCTTCAGCTTCCTAATTTCTAGTAGTATTTAATGTTTGTATTTTTTGTTGTAATGATGTATCCAAAGTGAATTATCTCAGTACTTCCTGTAAATCTTTCAAATGTTTTTGTATGGTGGAGAAGATCTTAACAAGACAGTAGCTTTCTTACTAATGTTGAATTGTAGTTATAACATCATTACCCATTTGTGTCACTTCAGAAGTGTTGAAGATTAGAGAGCTGCTTTTGAGAAAGAAGCTGTTGTTTAAAAGCATCCCTTGGTGATCTGCTGCATTGACTTGCAGTTATTGTGATTGGTGGTGGCAGTCTTGAAGGACTGTGATCCTCCATTTTCTGATCTTCCACTCTGAAGCCTATTATTGAGTTATCACCTATAGTCTTTGGCTTGAATTAAAATGTGTTGTTGTCTATACTTGTTGAAAATAATTAGTCTGAATTACTGAGCTGAATGTGTCTGTGGTAGCCCTTTTTTCACTTAAAGGCATGTTAAGATGCATATTGTTACTTCATCTTTGAGAAGGTTTTGCTCATACAAGCTCGTCAGGAGTTGACAAGCACTTTCATTTAAGAAATTAGGCTTTTCCACTATAAGTGAGGCAACACCTGCCGTGTCCCTGCTCTTGCTGTGTGCTGGGTTTACCTGAGAGCTATCACTTGTAGATATGCTGCTGATGGAAGTTATCTTCCATTTGTGAGAGTGGGAGTGAGAAATGTTACTTGTGGCAGCACGTGTCTCATCATAAATAGTAGGAGTAATTCTGAGCTGTTCCTTGGAACTCTTGTTCCGTATTTTTTTCCTCTACTTTGAATACTGAAGAAAAAATAGTCATTAGTCTTTAAAAATGAATGCAGTGATTTGTGCATGCTTTAATGTGTGTAGAGTTCTCTGTAAAAAACTGGATTTGAAGATGCTTGCTGCAGTACTTGGATAGATAATATCTCAGTTGTTCATTCAAGTTAACTGCATTCTGGATACTATATATATAGTGCATACATGTATCACGTACACACATGTATATAAAAATGTTATACTTAGCTTTAGATTGGGTTGTTTTTTTTTTCTTTTAATAAAGTAGCATCTCTATTTTAGATGGCATGATGACAGTTCTGTATACTGTTTGTTTTTGTTTCAGCAGAAGGATTCCTCCACAGAGGAGTCGGAAAGCTCAGGTGATGAAGAGAAACAGGAAGTAACATCAAATTTCAAGGAGGAATCTAAGGTCATGAGAGACCTTTGTCAAACTACCCAGAAGCCATCCAGAAATGAAACTCCCAGTAAAAAGTAAGCACATTGTTGGCATTTGTTTATAAATTAGTATTAGGCTTTTTCACACTAATATTTATGTTTCTGCTTTACATGAACGTAAAAATAGTTCATTCAGAGAGATTTACTGTTCTGTTTTGAACTGTTTCATATTTACATATTTTTCTAGGGAATGTCCTACCTCGACAAGTACAGAAGAAGAAGCTATTCAGGGCATGCTTTCTATGGCAGGATTGCACTATACCACATGTTTACCAGATCATACTCAAAGCACAGACTGCACAGATAAAAGAACCTCTCTTCAGGAACAAAGAAGCTATCCTAGAAGTAGGCATAAAGACAGACAGCCTTCTCAGAGCCACAAAACAATAGAATGTGGTAAGTATCTGAATTAATGACACCGCTGCTCTCTGCTGTGTTGGAGGAGCTGCTTAGAATAAGTACTTAAAGACTTAAGATCTGTACTCAAGCTTTTAAGTAAATTGGAACAACTTTTTAAAAGACAGGATTTTTTTTTAGTTTTCTTCTGCTGTAAAAACTGAAAGTTGCTTTGTAAAGCAAGGACAAACTTAGCTTCAGAAGTCATCAAAGCACATCTCCTAAGTGTTGTCACATATAAGTTTTGTGACATTCTAATAAGAATGACAAAGTTATGGTTAGATTGAGAGTGTATACTCCTTCAAAAAAGAGTGACAGGACCTACATAGTTACAGCTTTCATGGCATGTGTGTTACACAGACATCCATAGGAATTTGCTTGACTTCTTTCATGTCACGCTGGAAAGCACATTCAGGTTTACTCCTGAAATTCTGCTGTGAAAGCAGTTCATTAAAGGAGATTTTAATCCTGAAGAGGAGAATTCAGAAATTTGGTGGTTTTTGGTTTTTTTCCTTTGTGTTTTTGTCAGAGGCATTTTAACATCTGTGGAAAACAGGCATTTGTTAAATGCATTTTGGGAGTGACAGACAACCGAGCGCTTAACACTGATTTCCTCAGAGGAATCAAAATGAGTTTTTGAAACAGAGAGGAAAAGTCATTATGTGTGTAAAAACTATTTGCATGAGAATAAAATTAAAGAGGCTTTTAATATTTGGAAAAAAAACAAACAAACAAACAAAAAACAACCTCAAATAGCAAATAGGGTACTAATTCAAAGAACTACCAGTACCTTGAGTTTGTTTGAGCACAAAACAGAAAAGCCTGGTATCATGGGCTATGTTTCGATAACTTTAGCTGTAGGTCCTTAAAAACCTACCAGCCAACCATCTAAATAAATAAAACCAAAATAAACAAACAAAAAACCAAAAAACCCCAAATAACAGAAAGAAAAACACATGCAAAAATGCCCCAACCCAGCAAACCACACAGGCACACATCACACTACAATCATTGTGCCTTTATTAAAAATGTGAACCCCTAGTTACTTAACATGATGGATTGACTCAGGCTTGAAGTTAAGCATCCACACAGCTGCTTGTTCCCTTCCCCTGCTCTGCCTGCCCTGGGGGATGGAGGAGAGAACGAGAAGAGAGAGCATAAGGGGGGGGACTCATAGGGTGACATGAGGATAGTTTAATAAGTGAAAGAAAGATGAAAAGGGACAAGTGGTACAAAGACTTCACCACCTCCCCTACACAGACTGTTGCCCATCCAGTCTCTGAGCCACAGGTGCATTTGAATACAGCCTTCCTCCCTGCTCCCCTCCTCTGCCCCGGCTTTCATGGCCAAGCAGGATGTGGTGTGATAGGGAATATCCCTTTGACCAGTTCAAGTCAGCTCTTCAGGTTCTGTCTCCCCAGTAGTCTTCTCACTGTGTGAAGGCAAAGTGGTAAAAATAGAGAACTGTGACTGTGTCCAAGCACTGCCCAGTATAGCCAAAACTTTGGTGTGCTACCAACATCATTTCAGCCACTAACCTAAAATGTAGTTCCACATAGATTTTTATGGGAAAAAAGTTCCAGCTGACCCAATATATTATCAGACTTTGCACTGAAGAAGTTAACTGTATTGTAAATGTTTTTGATGTGGGAACTCCTACTGTAGGCCTGGCAGCTTAGATCTTGTTCCGTATATTCTACCCAAGCAGTAAATCAGTGCTTAGAAAGAAAAAAAAGACAGCATTGGTCTTTGTGTGAGCTAAGTACAGGCAAAGTCATGGTGGAAAACTGAAAACTGGTGTAACAGAGAAAGTAAGATATCCTCAGCATCGGTATTTTCAAACGTGTGCAGTTGTGTTTATCTGATCTTCTTATGGAGATATATGAGTCTAATTAATCCTTTTCATACTGCAAGATTGCTTTCCTGATTTAGTATGTGGAACCAAACCAATCTGACAACTTCCATTTAACATCTAGGGAAAATTTTCCATTGTGTTTTTCTTTTTTTTTCTGAACTCATTTTTGATGCTGCTCAAATGTATAATAAATTTTATATTCCTAATTACTGATTTCAAAGTTTAAGCTTGTTGAACTTCTCTTTAGGTAGGTCTGTGAAGGAAGAGGAAAGACACTTGGGGGCTTCAGCGTGGACTAGACACCTAAATGAAGCTTCAAGAATTACCCCTCAGGTAAAAGAATCTTCTAAAACTTTTGAACGCATTTTTATTTAAAAACAAACAAACAAACACATGAAGTTGTAAGCACCTAAATGGGTAGGTGCTTACATACTGAAAATCTGATAGCAGTTCGGGTGCTGGTAACCTAGGACTGTATTTCTGTCATGCTTTTTTTTCCCCATTGTTTTGTTTGTTTGATCTCCTTTCTAACTCCCTGCTGTCATGATGACTACTATTAAGATGCTTAGTACAATATCTTGAAAAAGAAAATATATTTTACAAAAAAGCATGAATTGAGTCTGTCTGGGGAAGCATGGTATTGCTTGCTTGCTGCTTGCAATTAGAGCTTCAGAACAAATTTATTATTAAAAAAAAAATCCCCAAAATTTATACAGTGAAACTGATAAAAAAACCTTTCAGTAACCAATGGTAGGAATACCGTTCCAGGTCTAGGTGGAATCCAGGAAGGAATACATAAATGAAAAACTGATTTTCTTACTCTCTAAAGTTTTTCATGACTTTTTGATAGGTTTGTCTCTTTCTGTGCTGAATATTTCTAATATTTTTCTAATATATAGAAATATAAGATATTTCCAACACTTTCAGCATATGCTAAAAATATTAGGAACAATTCAAATTACAAGATATGTGCTGTTTAGTAACTTTAATAATGCATTAATTTATTATATTATAATAATTATTATAATAATGCATTAATTAATTAACATTAATAATGCATGCTTTGTAGGTTTTTCATAATAAAGTCTAACTACATCGTATTCTTCACAATGTGTGTATAACATTGCCTTCAAGTGCACATGAAAGAAGTTACTCTGATTATTGTATACCTGATTTTTGAGAGGAACTTGTACTCATGGAAGAGATGAAGTGGATGAAGACTGGTGCAGTTGCATCCTCTTTTTTCAAAGATGTAGTAGTGTAATTAGAAAAACTGTAGTGAATTTGAATCCAGGGGCTATTAACTTCTTCTCTTTCTCCTCCTCGTTTCCACACCAGGATACGAATAAAACACAAAAATATATCAAGAAAGAGGGTGCATCAGAGGCTAATCATAAGGTTCAGGAAAACAGGAGTATAGTCCACAGCAGTGGCTTGAGTTTTCAGCATGGCAAGTGTATGCGAGACTCCAGCCTAATTCAAGGAGAATGCCGGCTGAGCGATGGCAGCCTCAGCCCTGACAGGCCGTATGGTGAAACATCTTTGTCTGTTCCACTTCATCCAACGAAGAGGCCAGCATCAAATCCACCCCCTATCAGCAACCAGGCGACAAAAGGTACTGCTCATCTCTGTTGCCCTTTTGCCAGGGAAAGAAGGCAGGGAAAAGGTTAACAATAAACGCCTAAAGTAGAGGAGCCTGTAAATAGCAAAGAGTGTGGAGGAGGAAGTAAGGCAGATCGGACTGGCTGCTTGGCTTTAACTGGAGCTCGTAATCAGGAGGGAGGCCAACTTTTTACGTGGTCTGATAGTGACAGGACAAAAGAGCATGGTTTTAAAGTAAAAGAGGGGAGATTTAGGTGAGATATTAGTGGGAACGCTTTCACTCAAGGGTTGGTGAGGCAATGGCACAGGCAGCCTGAAGAAGCTGTGAATGCTCTATTGCTGGATGCATCCAAGGCCCTGGGAGCTTGATCTATGGGTGACAACCATGTCTACAACATGGGATGTAATAGAAGGGCTTTAAGGTCCCCTCCAACAAGCCATTCTGTGATTGTTACCATTCCATCTCTGCAGTTGTATCTGTTGCGTGTTCATTACAGGGAGCAGAACAAACAGAACCACAACTGTACTCTGAAACAGTGGCCTGAGTCAGGTTTGTTTATCTAAGGAAAGGTTGGAAAACCATGCCAACTGAAAAAGAAATAATTAAAAATTCTGATCACCATACTGCTTGCTAGTTTATTTTGCTTTATTTACTCAAGGGTATAATTTATATGAGCAGAATTCAGGGAGCTCAGCATAAGTTTTCCCCTGTCACACTCATTGCCCTGCGATAGGCTACAAGTACTTGGAAATAGTGATATCACTTTATTTATGATAATGCTAGCCAGGTTAAGGGAAAACAACTGCTGCTGTTGTTAGAATTCTGATGCCCCGTTTGATTGCTCTGAAGCAGATGGATGAAGAGCACTTAGTGAAAAGTGTTTCCATGTGAAAATTCTGCCTGCTTTCAGCTTGGAAGCTGGATTTCATTTTTTTTTCTATGACGACTTAAGTTTTTAAAAAGAAAATTGTTCTGAAATTCCCAATTGAAGTGTCTGATATCATTTTTCAGGCAAACGTCCAAAGAAAGGAATGGCAACCGCTAAACAGCGCCTTGGGAAGATCTTGAAGCTGAACCGCAATGGCCACGCACGCTTCTTTGTTTAATGTAGCTGCTACTTCTACTACTGCTGTCTTTCCTATACAGACCAGTATTGAGGTCGACAGAGCCTGGAGCTGCTGTTTTTCCTCTGCTTGAAGCAGACTTGCATGTACCATATAAAACACTGCCTGATGAACAAAAACAACAACAAAAAAAAACCAATCCACAACCCAATGCTGCATTTTCACTGTGCCACACCTGCTCAGCAATAACCATTTGGGAATGGGGAAATCTTCGGAGAGACACGGACTGTGAGAATTAGTCTCTCATTCAGGGCTTGAATATCATTTGTTGCTGGTAGTTTCTGACCTAATCCATGAGGGGAAGATGATGAAGGTGGTTTATCAATAATTTATTTCTGATAGATTGTGACGACTTTAAAATTCATTTTAAAAGCTATTTATTTGGAAGACTTTTTTTTTTTTTTTTGGTGGGAGTTATTAATTTAGATTTAAGAATGTGAAAGCTTTTAATTGTATTGATTATGTATGTTTGGTGCAGTGGAGAGCCACATTAATGGTAATTATTCTGGACTCTTAAATTTGTTATTCAGGTTATAGTCTTAAGTAGGAATGAGATGCATTATTAATTATTTTTAAATTAAGGCTTATGGAATCTTATTTTTTTTTCTGCTCTTGATAAGCTATTGTCTGGGCTTCTGTTGACTTGCAAGGTGCATATTTTCTGCCAGCTTGATTATTTTTTGATCTCTCTTTTTTTATACAGATTTATTTATTTGATGGAGTAGAATAGACTCTCTAAGACACAAGATTCTTCTTATGTCAGTCCAGTAGCTAACTTGTTTTAAGCTGCACCCCTTTCCTCCAAGTCAGAGTGCATCTTTTTCCTCCTGATGTATTGTTTGGATCTGTCTGTGATGATTTTCTTCTGCAAAAGCTCCCTGAAAGTTTTGTTTGCATAGGTGATTTAGAATCTGGTACAAGGGAGGAAAACATCATGTATCTTCTTGGAGGAAGTGGGAGCTCAGTTAAGATACATGTTTCTTCACAGTTACTCAGAAATAACTCATAAGACACATTGCAGTCTTAAGACTGGACGTAGTGCTTAATGTAGCATGAAAGAAGCATTAACTATTGTCTTTTAAGCAGCTTAGTGAAGAATCAGGAAGGTAGAAGAATCTGTGTTACCTTTAAAGCTGGACAACCAATTGGAAGTCTTAACTGGTGCACGTACATGGGTTAAGTAGCTTACTGGTATCAGAACAGCCATTTCTGTCAGGCTACATACAGAGCTGATGGTAAATGCTGATTCTGAATTACTGTAAATAATTTTGATTTAGAATTTGTATTTTTTCTGTAATATAAAATTAAATATTTAACTTTCGGGGTATTGGGATGAAGGCTTAAAGGGGAATACTTGATTCTGGAAAAAGGGCATTTTGCAGGGTCCAGCCAAATGTTAGTGACAACAGTATTGTGGATTTTTCTGTTTTATTTTGTTTGTGTGTTTTTGAGTGATTTCTAAGCGTAAAATACTCAAGCATAGCTATCCAATTTGTTGATGTAACTTTCCATAACCAGTTTTTCCTTCCTCCATATTCTATACTGAAATAGTTTTTCTTATATTGTAATTTAAAAGCAGGCTGACTTGGACTTTTCAGAGTATTTGTGCAGGGTTATTTTTCCTCTAGACTAGATAATTAGTATCTTTGCAAAGTTATGGAAATGGTTCTGATGTCAGGTGTTTTTGATTGGTGCAGGGTCAAAGCTATTCAGCACTATGTTCTCCTGTTTCTGACTTGAGAAACATCAAAACATAATGCAATTACAAATAAATCAGGTAGCTTTCATGGCCTGACTTCCTTGAAAATTTGAAAGTGACAACTTAAGCGTGTTTTGCAGCCCTGCTTTTACATTGTATTGATTTGACTTTGGAGCTGTGTGTGTATACATGTGTGAGTGTGTGTATGAATGAATTTTTCAAAAGCTTTTTTTGTTTGTTTGTTTGCTACTTACAGTTCCACTAAAAATAGGTCTCTCTCTCACACCCACCTCCAGAAAGAGAAAACCACTGGCTGCATTCAGGCTGTCCCAGGTTTTTTGTTTGTTTGTTTGTTTAAATAAATAATTATTTTTTTATTTAATGCAAGCTATCAACCTTGTTTAGTAAACTGTAGGGAATGGAGGTAACAGAAGATTGCTAAAAAAGCAGAAGCTATGCCAAGAGGTACTCTACGGTGCTGAAAGTGACAATAATTACTTGCTGTTCTCAGGTGCTATGTTTTCCAGATTGAAATAGTCAAAAGAGAGTATTTTAACTATCCTCTAATATGTTCTTACCAAAGTAGTAAGTGAAAGAAATAAAAATATGTTGTCAATATTAGTTAAAATTGTATACCCATGTAAGTATTCCTTGTGCTTGAGCAAATGGATTAATGGCTGCCAAGCTTTGAAATCTGTTTTAACTTTAGTGTATTGAACCATACTGCTTCCTTCTAGCTAGCTGTATAGTTTTTAAGAATAGAAAATTCCAGTTTAGGGCAGCAAGCAGATTCAGAACAGAAAGAAGAATGAGCCATCTCTCCATGAAAGCAGATTTCTGAGAGCACTAATTGGAAATACAAGTGTGCCAGAATAGAATCTGGAGTAAGGAATTTTGAAATATGGAATACACATTCTTGTATACGTGACTGGTTTATACAGAGTCTGTTTTCTGACCGCCCACATTATTTATCTTGCATCCTACTATTAGAACACAGATATGGCTGGACCCATATATATTATTTCTTCTTCTTTTTGTTCTTTCTTTATTCTACTTTCTACCTTTTTCTTTTCTTCCCAAAGTGGCTCTTCGCTGTTGTTGCTGTTGTGAGTTGATGTAATAGTCTCTTCACAGGCTGTCAACAGGCAGAGGTTCATTCCCATTTTCTTCAGATATCCGTGCTTCCAGCAGAAATTAACTCTGATATTCCACCTCAGAAGAAGTATTTTAAAATTAATTGCCACGATGAGCCATGTTTAAAACAAAACAAAATCTCCTGGTAGCTTATGAAGAGGATGTGGTGACCTCACTTGTTTTGTGTATGTGTTTGTAGGGATATTTTTGTGGTGTTGTAGGTGAAAACACTACTGCACCAATCTTTTCATAGATGGACTGAACTTTGTGTTGTAGTAGCGGAGAGAAAAAGCCCTGTTGTTTGTTTGTTTTTTTTCCTTGCTATCTCACTCGAGATGGAGAAGATATGGGGAGTGGGTAGCACTGACTGAACCATTCAGAGAATTAAGCCTGGCGTGATAACTTGTTCTGAAGGAGAACCTTATTTAAAAGTGAAAAAAGGATTTGGATTTGACATAAAACTTAATTTTCTTTTTATAGGCAGACAGAACAATAGGAAAAGAAATATTGCAGGGGTTTTCCCATTCTCTCAAGTTCTCACGTTCCTACAACTAGGAGAAAACAAAACCACAAAAAGAAAACCAAAACCAAAACATGAAAATGGAAAGACCACCCAGAAACTGTTATCAATGACCCTTCCAGCAACTTTCCCTTTTCTCCTCCTGCTAGACGTGTTAATAAACCCTGGCTACAAGGTAGCCTTTAATGACCTCTGAGGTAGATTACCTATGCAACCTATAATGCTCTTCATGAATCCATTCTTAAATACAATTTTGAAAGGGTTAGATGTTGAGAGTTAATACTGTTGCTTTCTGATCACGTGGGGGATTTTGAGGGGGCTGGGTATTATTATTCGGTAGTTGAAGTGCTTGTGTTACCTTTAGTGGTGATGTAAGAGTACAGAGTCGTCATGGCCGTTTAGAAGCTTCAGCTTTACCTGGGCTTTACTATATGCCATAAGCTACCTTCATGCTCAAAGCCATAAAGTTGAAAGTGTTGAAAATTTTGCAGGGCTTCAAAGTCGCAGCTGGCACAAATCTTGCTGATTGCTTTCTGGCAGCTGTGGAGACTAAGCAGAGCTGAAGCTGGAATGCCCTAGTACTACAACCCTACAACTGCTGCCCTATTTGGGCTTCACATGCCCAGTTCTCCTTCCACACCCCCTCACAACCCCCAAATCTAGCATCTTTTCAGAATTTCATTCTCGTAATACTTCCAGACCATTAAAAGCTGTTCGTACCTATGGGATTGAGTGAGCCCAGAGCTACTCTGTTTCACAGATGAAATATAAATGGAACCCAGGGCCTTACTATTTGTGATTAAATGAAAATAAAAGCTGCAACATCCATGTTTCCAAAAAACAACCCCAAACAAAAACCACCCTAGTAACACTCTGTGGGAGCACGAGAGTGATGAATCACGCAGCGGATGGGAAATACAAGTAGCACTGATAAGGAAATGCACCTTCCTCGTAGGATGCATTTCCCTTTGGATAAAAGACTTTTTGTACTTTTAATATAAACTAAGCCATATGCGTTTCATGCTGTGGGAAGGGAATGAAAGGGATCACTTTAAGAGATTATATTGATATGTATCGTCACTTCTGCTGGGAAATGTCTATTGCTGCCAATGCTTTGGTGAATCTTTTTTTAAAAAACATGAAATTTGAGGGGAAAAAAAGGGGGGGAGGGGAGCGAGGGGGCTAGTTCTTGGCTATATTTACTAGTTTTGTAGTAATGTTTTGCTGGCCCGTTTGTCTCTTCCTCTCCTTTTTGTACTCTGATAGTCTAATTTCTGTCTTTCCTTCTGCTGTCTCTGAAAATATTAGCTTGTCTGCTCAGTAGGGGTCGGTGTATGTGTGTCTTCCTTTTTACACAAACGCACTACTGTGTTAAGTATTTGGCTGGGAAAGGGTGATGCTGCAGCTTTAAGAGCATTTTTTCAATTCATAACAGTATTTCCCATCCTCTTTTGCCTGCAGGCAGGGAAAGTGTATGTACAGTATTTATTTTGTTTCGATTTTGCGTTAAATTTGTAAGTTTCTATGAGTAGTTCACATTGATTCTTCTAGGGGAGGATAAGTGGCTTTGTTTAAATTTGTATTTGATATTCATAGTTTCCACTTTCTGTACTTTAAAATACTGAAATTAAAAACTTGTATTGCTTATGTTTTGATTTTAGCACTCTAAAGCGTTTAATTTCTTCAGACTTCTGCTCATTTGCTTCAGTGTAAATACAGAAAACAAAACAGAAAATGCTTTTCTAGGTCCAGTCTCTGTGCCCTTTACTCATTGCATTTCTAAGGGGATGTTTTCTGCAGAAATTTGAGGTGGAATATCCTCATGCTGTTCTCTTATTTTCAAAGTGCAAATCTCATTTCAATCAAAGTGTGTTAAATGGCAACCAAATGCATTGTGTGAAGATGTGTGTATTCTTCTTGGATCTTAATATAAAAGGGAGGTGGAAGTGTTCTGTGATCTGTCCTATTAGCAAATCTAGAGGCATAGATGTGAACTGTAAGCAGGATGTAAAAAGAAATGCTATTTTCCTGGTCTCCTTGCTCATGTTTTTTGTTAAGTTTTGCCTCGTGCTACTGATGATTGGTTCCTGAATTTCTTTTTCCTTTCAGTGGTATGGTGTATCTGGAAGAAGAGATTTCTCTTGCCCACGTCCACATAGTTTGTCATACTTTTATCCTGGATTGCTTCTCTGCTGACTTCTCCCTCCACATTATTATGTGTTTGTGCTCCTTGTTTTTCCTGCATATGGCAGTACAGTGTTGGCATGTGGGTACTACTCTCCCTGGAGGTTATGGAAGCATCACTGTGTTGCACTCAATGTAACGCATTTTCTTCCCCTTCTGGCAGTGCTCTGTGCTACTGAACAACTAGAACATTGTGCCTGGACAGATGCCCAGATTCCAGTGATGGTCATCTTATGAGACCCTTAGACAAGTGGTGCAGCTTGGAATGGGCTTGGAAAGATCAGATGGTAAAAGGTGTTTAGTTGTTGGCATCCTCTGCAGCTACACAGGTTTATTTCTTGAGTTGGCTTCTTAGTTTACAGAGGATTTACGGTTGTCTGTGATGACTGGGAGGTCTCTTCACAGACCACATGCAAGGCAGGCAAAGAGCAAGAACGCTGTTCTCATCAAACCATGTCCTGCTCAAGTGTAAGACTGAAAGAGTTTTAATAAATAACACCCAGCTGTGTTCTGTAGCCTAACGTGTAAAGCATGGTAGTCATGTGAATGTTGGGGGTAGACACTTCTATGCTGTTTCAAAACCAGGTTTTATTTGCACTGAGTAAGAAATCACAAGGAAAAGTTATGGTTTAAGTAGAGGGTGAAAATGAAGTATATGTCCAGAAAATAGTTTCTTTTCTGTTGGCATTTCTTTTGCTTTTTTTTTTTTTTTTTAATGTGTTAAAATTCATTAGCAGTTTGGTTAGCCAGAGATTTGCCAAAGATTGGAAAGAGCTGTTTCTCTGTCAGAGCAGCCACATATTTTTTAAAGAAGCAATGACTGTGGCTGGCCAAGCAGTGCTGCAACCCAGGCACTTCCATCAGGCACTCATCTGGACTTGTCACACACAAATCACTGCTCATACCCATGTTTTGGTTGTACAGTGGTAGGCTTGAGAGGACATTAGTGGAACACGAAAATTCATATGTGTGTAAAAACTTAGATAAGCATGTTTACTGTTTGTCCTTATGTTCTTGCCAGCTACTCCAGTGCTTTTTCCTTTGACTTCTGTATCGTGATCATAGATAGGATAATACAATGGAGAACACTGAAATACCTCAAAGGTGCTGCTTTAAGTGATGCTTTGGCACCTGGAAATGGATTTCCATTGTAAGTTAGGGTTACTGGTTTTCTGTTTCCTGCTTGAGGAGGATAGAGAAATACTTAATCTGGATTGTTCTTCCCTAATGGACAGGTGAATTTAAAAGCTTCAAGGCTACTAAATAGAGCAAAAGAATTGCAGGTAAAGGAACAGCCAAGGTACCATTTCTTCGGTATCTGAATACTGAAGATTGTGTGTGTGTGTGTGTGTGTGTGTGTGTGTGAGAGAGAGAACAATATACTGCTGAATTTGAGGTAGAATTGTGGTGATGTAGTACCTCCTCCCCCTGTAAGGTGCCTACCAGGTTAGTTTTGGGTGCGCTTTGTGGAGGTCAATTCTTTCCCTGGAGGGCTTTACATCCCCTGTTCAAGTTATGAAGCTATTGTGTTAGCCAATTAGAGAACACAACCAGTCCTCCTCCTTGTTTATTTTCCACTTTGGGTTGTTAATGGAAATGTGGTAGCCGAACAGATATGGTGAGGCAGTCATGCGGAGTGCTTTATTTCTTTGTGTGGGCATGTTTTTTCTGGATGCCCATAACATGCTTTTACTGCTGGTCGGTAGCATCAACTGTCTCAAGCCAAAAGTAAATGAAGACTGAAACTGTAAAAACAGAATGTTATTACTCATTCTGATATGACCCCGAGTTTCAAATGCCTTTGTTTCTACAGCAGCCAGTGACTGAAATGCTCACCTGCAGAAGAAGTACCTGGTGATGGAGATGGTGAATAGTTTCTCTTTACCAGAGCTTGTAGGATTCCGCCTAACAGAGTCTGAGACTGAGGTCTGTTCTCTCTGAAGCCAGTTATATTCACTCTTTAGAATAAGTGCTACCAACATCTAAATTGTTTGACTGAATAGATCTACTTATCTGTGCTGATACTGCTGTATTTACTTTGGTCTTGGAAAAATATTATTTGGAACGTGTGAGTCAACTAAAAGAACAGTATACAAAGAGTCTGCTTCTTTGTGGTGCTTTGCTTGAAAGTTTCATCACAAGGAATGTTTCATTTGCTGCAGTGAGTAAATAATAACGTTACTATTATACAATTAATATAATAATATAATATATATAATTAATATATTGTAAATAATGATAATGTTCTGCTTATCAGGAAGAAACATTTGCTCTTGAACCATACACTTTGGTGGTAAGTGGTAAAGATCTAAGTCAGCTTTCTGTTCTGGAAGATGTAAAAGCCAACCAAACTGTATGAACTGCTGCTGAGTCTGCTGAGATAGGACCCATGCTGTGGAAACGTGGTTTGATGAGATTGCCTTTTCATACCAGTGTTTATTCGAAAATGATGGTGGGCCACATGCTTTGTTCTCAGGTTGCTGATTTGTGTTAGGGAGTTTCTGCAGTTCTGCGGAGGATCTTTGAATATATAATGTTACAGTGAGGCTTGTCTTGTAAGGGATGTCTTGCGCTCAACTTGCACGTGTAGAATTGTTTCACATTCTGCCGTGTGGCAGGCACTGGACAAGCCCTTTCTGTATGGTTAATGTGCATCTCCCCAGGAGGCAGCTGACTGCCTGTGGGATCATACAGCTCCTATGTCTACTGAGGAAGGAGGGTATTCAAAGTGAATTCCTCTCGAAGAGTTGAATTTGTACAGAAAGATTTCATGTTAATATCACACAGGTCCCATGTGAGTGAAGTTTGTAGGGGGAAGTGATCCTGTATCCATCTCACTGATGTCTTGGGAGGATGTGAAATACATGTAGAGCAGTACATGTGGAACTCCTCCTCTCCACACAGATGTTCCTGTGCTCATGTCCTCGCCCCAGGGCTGCTGCTCTGAACCGCTAACTTACAGACTGCATTCAGCAGAGTTGCCCTCGATAGCTTTTTTCTTTTAAGCTGTGTTTTATATGGCACTTAGTGTAGTAGAAAGAGGGGGAAAATGATGTGTTCTTTGTTTCTGTCCCACATTTTCTCTTGGCTCTGGTTCCACAGGTTTTTATACAATAGAGAAAACTGGTTACCAAACTCCAACCATGCTAGTGTTTAAACCATCACTATGAGGGAAGGAGTGTCCTCACAGCTCCTTTCATTATCACATTTAATTGAGAGCAGAATAGCTCTGTCAGTAGTCTTTAAATTCTTTATCATTACCGGTTGATTGGGACAAGCAGAGATTTCTCAAATAATAAACATATATACTTTTGCTCTCATGCCATCTCACACTGTGTTTTCCAGCTCAATTTTTAATTTTACAGCTTTAAGAAAAACATGAATATCATTCTGTGCCAAACTGCTGTGACTCCTTGAAAGGATAAGGAGGTGTCAAAGGAGCTCTGTGACGACTTAGACCAAAATATGCTTTGTGGTACAAAACAGAAAAGAAACCATATCAGTAAAGGAAGTTAGTTTTTTGCCTGACTTAGAAGAACTTAGAAGAATGCTAGATGATTATCATGGTATTCATTAAGCAAACATTCTTGTGGCACTTCATTTGTGTGGAGGAGTTGCACCAAAGTGGGGTTGGACAAGGTGATCTGTGGAGGCCCCTTCCAACCCCTGTGATTCTGTGAATGAACTTAATACCCAAAATATCTCATCAGGCTGTCAGGTGATAGAAAAGGCTGCAAGTAGTAAGACACAAGTAGGGTTGACTTGCTGCTAGAAGCACTAAGGTTTTATTTGTCTAGGGAAGAGTCTGCTTAGATTTGCACAATTGGCTTCAGTCCCACCTCTGATTTCTTACCTGCATGCACTGATTTGGTGGGGTCTGAATTAACGCTGATGTGGTGATGCGTCCTTAAAGATGTTACAGTGAGATCATTCTTTGGGTGGTGCTGTAGGTCGCTCCTTTTACAGCCCTTCTGAAGACTTCTGATAACAGAGATGCCCACAGTTGTCTCAGCAGTTGCCCAGCCCTGCTGCCTGGGAGCTGCCATCTTATGCAGGAATTCTTCTCAAGGGAAGGCCTTTGTTTTGCTGATGTGATTGAGGGCCTCTGGGGTGTCATGGTGGGGGGGAACACCAGGTTCAGAGCAAATGGCCAGGCAGCAGAGGGGAGCACATCCTTCAGGAGGCAGGAGAAGCAGCCTGCAGCACTGCTGAGCCCTGCGGAAGGCAGAAGGGATGTCCTTGTCCCAGCTGGTTGGCATGCTGGCTGGTCTCACTGCAACTGGCTTACAGGAAGGCTCCCATCCCTATCCACTGCCCTCTGGGGGCTGCTTCCAGCAGGGGGAGGGTCTTTCAATTGCACCACTGGCATAACATGAAACAAACATCTCCAGTTTGCAATGCAGGAAAAGCTTTTTCTAAGGAGTGTTCACTTTGCTTTATGTCATACCTGCATTGTTACTTTCAGTAAAATGGAGTGGGATGGAGCCTCATCTGGTGTTCCTGTCATCTAGCTCTGCTTGGAAAGCCATGTTATTGCTGCAGTGCTCCATTTTCAGCATTCATGTCTCCATTGTACTGGGACAGAAGATGATTCAGGTCAGATGAACAGCTTCATGTTGAAATTGTGCTGATCTCCTTCTCTTGCTTTGGTTCCTCTTTCTCTTGCTTACATGGCCTCACTGAGGTTATTATTGATGATCTCTG